AGGGGGCACGGGGTTGGGGACACCCCTGTTGTCCTAGGAGGCTGGCGGCGGAGGTGCCAGCTCCCCTCACCCCTCCATCATGGGCAGTCCTTGGGGCTCAGGAGGCCCGAACGCCCCTGGGTTACCATGGCTAAAGGAGGGGTTACAGTTTAGGGCTAATGGGATTTTTTGTGCAACAATCCCTCCGTACGTTGTGTATTCAAGGGTTGTTCCTCACCCTACGTATATTTAGGAGGTGCTATTTTTTAAGTCCCATGAGACTGAGCGGGGGTGGACCCCTGGTCACTGGCATTGCTGGAGGAGATGGGTGTCCCCACGTTGCCTGGTCCCCTCGACCCCGTGAGGAAAAGGGGTGAGGGAGGGACCCGCTCGGTGTCTACAATGAGGAGCTGGGATGATGGATGACCTCGGAGCAGGGCTGAGGTGGGCACAGCCACCTGGACAGGAACCACTCCTGGGGTGCCGTAAGGCAAATGTCCTGCCGTGGAAAAGGCTGGTGATGCCCTTCCCACTGCTGAAACAGAGTCCTGTTGAACTGGGGAGGTTTGGGGCTGGTTTAAGACAACTTCATGCACTGGATTGGAACAGGGACACTTGGGTGGCATCCAAGAAGCTAAAACTCCCTGGAGAGGGTCATCTCCATCATTCCCGTGACAGCCCCATGCCCAGGAAGGTGTGGACCACAGAGACCTGCTGAAACAGGTACCATCATCCTTGCATCCTCACAAAGCCGAAGGCTCCAGGGATAGGGGTTGAGATGCCTCCCGTTGGGCTTTGCGGGGCGGCTGGGGCTGGAGAGGCATCTCACGCTGCGGGGGAAACGGCTGCCACACGAGTTGAGACAGGAGCGGGGAGGACTCCTGGTACTGCCTTGAAATACCGGAGGCAGCAGATGTGAATTTAGCAGTTCTTGACCTGTTTTTTTTTTTTTTTAATTGATTTTTAGCCTGCTTAGCCAAATTATTGAAAGGAGGGGGAAAAACCCCCAACTCATCAGTGCTGCTGTGCCCTGTGTCAGCAGGCGAGGTGGGTGTTTTTACTTGTTGGGTCTTTGTCTCATAACTTCAGAGTTTATGAAAATTAAATGGATTTTTATTCCCACTTTCGGGGTTGTCGTCTGTCAACGGTCATGCGGAGCCACCTCAGTGGGGTGGGGGGTGGCAGAAAAGGAATCTCCATGCAGTTGTGTCCTCTCTTCGTGTGGTCTTCTCCGTCGTGTTCCCTGCCTTTCCACAGCCCGTTTAATGTGGCAAGGCCAGGCAGGAGCCCAAGCTGCTGTGGCTGCTCCTCCAGTGGCGTTTTTTACTTTATTAGTAGGATTAATTTGCTAATAAATGAGTCTGCCAGGGAATTTAGGGAGCAGCAAGGAATAAAAAACAAAGAAAACCAAAAAAAGGCAGATTTGGAGCTGAGATTTCTCTTTTCAAATCATGAAAATCCACTGCAGAACCAATAAAAGCTTTGGACTGGGGGAGAAATGCACTTTTTTCCCCCCCCCACAAACCCAACCAACCTCAGTTTCTGCTGTTCAGCTGCTGCCAGGTTCACAGCCAGCGTGCTGCACCGTCTCACCCGTTTCATGCTTCTCCCTTAGCTTTTATCCTCCAACGGGACGTAACCATGTAAAAACACATTTCTACTTATTCTTACAATCATTTGCACCAAAAAAACCTACAAAAACATTATAGAGCTTGGGAAGTGGCTCACTTCAAGCAGTAATTTGTGAATTAAGGGAGTTTTCAGTAGTTTGAGAAAAATGTTGCCAAGCTCAGCCGAAGGTGCTGGGCTGGAGATCTTCGCTCCTCGTGTGGGTCAGCTGGGTGCACTCTCAGCACCGTTTGGCCTGGTCTGAGAGGGGTAAGAACATGGAATCATTGAATGGTTTGGGTTGACAGAGACCTTCAGAGGTCATTTACTCCAACTCTCCTGCCTTGGACATCTTTGACTAGAGCAGGTCGCTCAGTGCCTTGTCCAACCTGACCTTGAACGCTTCCAGTGGTGGGGCATCCTTTGGGCAACCTGTGCCAGCATCTCACCATCCTCATCAGAAAAAATTGATGTCTAGTCCAAATCTACCTTTTTGCAGTTTAAAACCATTGCTCCATCCTCCTTATAATCCCCTTTTCCATATTGAGAGACTGCAGTAAGGTCTCCCCGGAGCCTTCTGTTCTCCAGGCTCAACACCCCCAACTCTCCCAGTCTGTCCATAGCAGAGGGGCTCCAGCCCTCAGACCATTTTCGTGTCCCATCTCTGGACCTGTTCCAACAGTTCCATGTCTTTCCTGTGCTGGGGACCTTTAAGATCATGAAATCCAACCGTTAACCCAATGCTGCTCATACCACCACTAAACCATGTTCCTAAGCACCACATCCACGGGTCTCTCAAATCCCTGCAGGGATGGTGACTCCACCACCTCACTGGGCAGCCCGTTCCAATGCCTGACAGCCCTTTCCATGAAGACACTTTCCCTAATATCCAATCTAAACCTCTCCTGGTGCAACTTGAGGTCATTTCCTCTTGTCCCATCACTTGTCACTTGGGAGAAGAGACCGACACCCCCCTCTCTGAACGCTCCTTTCAGACAGTTGTAGAGAGCAATAAGGTCTCCCCTGAGCCTAATCTTCTCCAGGCTGAACCCCCCCAGCTCCCTCAGCCGCTCCCCCCAGGCCTTGTGCTCCAGACCCTTTCCCAGCTCTGTTCCCTTCCCTGATCACGCTCCAGCCCCTCAAGTGTCTTTCTTGCAGTGAAGGGCCCAGAATTTGAGATGCAGCCTCACCAGTATAGGAGAACAATCACTGCCCTAG